TAACACCATCGGAATCAGTAGTGGTTAAGGTAGTAGTGTATTCAGTACATTCAGCACAATCACTAGTTGCACCATCTGTTGGAATATCTGGGATTGTTACTGTGGTACAAACAGAACAAGCTTGGGGAACCAGTTGACTTGGTACATCTCCGTTGTATACAATATTTGTACCCTGAACTTCAAACATAGTACTATCGTAGTTACCATGAAGATTATATTTAGTGCTCATAAGTCTAATACTGCTTGGAAGAAGAGGAATAAGTGTTTTAGCAGCAGTTATGACTGCTGGTAAAACATTGATGTCAACAGTCAATACTTGAGTACTGCTATCATAGCTAATTACTGGTCCTAAAATAACATTTCCCACAAGTCCCTTTACTAGAGCTAATACTAGATCTAATACAGGTCCTAATAATGGAATATTACTAAGTCCATCGATAGCTCCAAGCCCTAAAATCTGTAATGAGTTTCCGCCACCAAATCCGTAAAGATTATAAGTAGGAGCAGTTCCTATATCGATAACACCACTAACACCTACACTCAAACTTCCAAGACCGATTTGAAGATTAGAGTTTCCATCCGCGAGATAGATGTCATTATCAAGGCCAATAACACCTGTAGCAATATCAAGCAACGAGTTAATAGACCCACCATTCAAAACTGTCATACATCCATCACCTTGAACAGATAAGAGTTGAGTGTAGGCAGTGCTATCTAAACAAATTGAGCCGTCATTTGTTGCTTCAAGTATAGACCCACTTAATAATCCACCAATATTAACAGAATTAATAAGTGCAGTACCAACTAAGTTGTTGGATTGTCTCATGTATATTAATCCATCATTCTCCCATCCATTTACACCCACCAATTCATAGACAGAGGCCACACCATCTTGTGAATCAAAATATATTTTACCATCTGCACCGTTTGTGAATGTACCAAGAGCTGTAGTTAACCCCAAAACAGTTGCAAGACTGTCTGTTTCTGAACTGAAAACGATGGTACCTTCATTATCAATGTTACCAGTAGCTACCGCGGCTGAAACTGCAGCAATACCACCATCATACTTGAAATAAAATCCACCATTGTTATTAATACTACCAACTCCAACATTTGCTGAAAGGAGAGCATTAATAATCGTAAGATATGCATCCGAATTAATAGTTAAATCATCTCCAATTTGAAGGCCTAAATTGATGATACCATCCTGAACTGTTGGTTCCGAAATGGTCAACCCAGATACGGAACTTGCTAAAGCAATTACAGTTCCAACTAATGAAGAAAATTTCATATCTTGAGCAATGGCGAATAAACTTGAGTAAGAAGTTAAGGAATACTAGTTATATTTATAGTGATTGTTTTCGATTGCCTAAATTCTAGCTACCTTTTATTCCCATGCTTTGCATATTCAGGTTTGATTATTCAGCGATCCCGCATAAAAAGTTTACCATAACTCTTAATACCGCTATCCTACTACCCAATTCTGTGAATATATGTTGGTACCGGTCGGTATATCGGCAGATACATTTATATAATAAAATATATACGCAAGAAGACAATGCAGTGTTTTTATTTTCTTGCGTATTCGCAGGCAATTATTTTTAGCAGCCGGAAATAGGCTAAGATCTTAGATGTAGCTTAATTGGTATACGATGGAAATTGATGGGTTCTGAAGTACTGCGGATAAAGTAGAGAATAAAATAAGATTCGAGCCATGTGTATAAGACTGGTTATGTTCATGAATGTATTTGAAGATATTCAACGATACCCGTTAGTCTTACAAAATTAATTTACATTGAGAAGAAAGATGCTACTTACTTTTAGTCTAATTGCTCTGTTGGGATATTTCTAAAAACATAACCTTACTATATTGACCTTCTAAAATCATAGTCATATTCACGTTCTGTTCATGTCGTTGTTTTTTTTTTTTTCCGAAAGCTTAGGGAGTAAAAATATGCATTTTCACAATTGAGATCCGCGGGCCGGTTACAAATATGACCCTCGTATTTATGATTTTAATACGGACACCATATAATAATTAGGTAATTTGAGCAGCGAAACGAATTGCAGAGCCACCTTGTACTACCGGACTTTTCGACATCACTGGCTTAATCACTATTTGGGGGACGTAGTTTGCGACTGTCCGTTAAGAAAACTTGGTGGAACTAAAGGTGGATTCCAGATCTCTAATTCCTCGTAAAAACCTTCGCTGATGAGGAAATGACTCGAATATCACTCATGCAGATAATGATAAGATCTCTGCGACGAATTATGTTTGTGTTTTTATTTTTTTATTCTTTGAGGCGTCGGAATACTCTATCTAGGGTTTAGAGTTTTGATATGCGACTGGACCATCCGTAAGAATTGTTCTCTGAAAAAGCTGCGTTATTTTCAACTCTACAATTGTTCGCCGGAAAATATCGTTATCTAAATTAGGATCATTTACTGAACATTTCCAAGATACTTGAGGACTCAGATATTACCTAGTAAATTCTCTTCTTGCTACTATAGCTGAATAGTTTTCGCCTTGAAAATTATGCAAATACGGTATGAGACATTTTATTTCAATCTTTTTGGTTTTTGATAATACCACGAATTATGGTAAACAAAAACCAACATTAGTTCAGGCCTTTAAACGCCTCCATCGATGTAAAGCGGTGCGCATATTTTTTTATTCTACTATACTATGTGCAAACCCGGAGTTAGAATACGACTCCTATTGATACAATTATACGGTTTTATCTTGAGAAATTTGTCTTTGTATTCTCTCTTAAACAGTAATTGGAAAATAATTGACCATAATCCTCAATATTCCTTATTTGATACCCGTAGGAAACAAAAGCGATCAATAAATAAATATAAGAGGACAACCTTATTTTTGAATTACTTCGAAATCTTCGAGATGGCTAAGAAGCAAAGTTCTACTCTAATACGCTTCCGAAAAAATTCCCCGCTACATAATATGGGGTAGTTATTTCGAGAAGCCATATGATGTACTCATGTCTTTACATTGTATTCGAATTATAGCATAAAAGACCTTCGTATCAAATTAGGAGAATTAAGTAGATATCAAAGAGGACGTATTAAAAATTCGAAACAGGCAAAGTTAAAGCGTTCCAATAAGAAAAGGTTGCTCATGAATATTCTTACAAATGTCTTCAGTTGAAAGTAAAACTAAAACTAAGCAACATTCTAATTGTTATCGAAGTATTTAGTTTCACACGGCGAATGATTAAAAGTAATTACGGTATCGTAAATTAGAACTCTGTTTCTTTACAATAATATTAAACTTTTAACAATCAAATTTGTTAATTTTTCGCATTATTATAAAATAATTGCAACTTTATTTACGAATATAATAAAGAAGCTTGTAAATTACTATTGTTTGCTGATTGTTCAAATCTTGAAGTTAAAATATACCTTTACGACTTCTTCACAGTATTATTTACAAGAATCCATTGAAAAAGTAAATATTAATTATTAAATATCAAGAGTACAAAAAAAAAAAGTGTTCAAATTGACAGTTATATACATGTGATAACTCATGAGATATATTAATTAAAACAAATACCCGATACACAGCAGAATGGACTGACTCTCATATTCACTTGACCATCCTAGCTACCTACGATTCTGCATTCGCTTTTTAAATTTTTTAATCCTAGGGTCATTAATCTTGAGTCTTTGATAATTCATCCTCACAGGCTTGACTTTACCTTTCATATCCTTGTGATTTGGATCTTGTTGGACGTATTCTTCATCACTACTTGTTAAATCCTCTTCATCCATATCATCGACTTTCATATAGTCCACAAGATTCTTAAGGGCTTCATTATCAAGTCTCTTGACTTCATCATGAATATTAACATTCTTTAATATATCTTCTTTACTTTCTTGTGCGTTTGGCTTGATCTTCCATCTTCTGGTCGTTCTCTTTTGCGTTATTCTTTTTCTTTTTGGGGCACTCGTAGATGAACCTTCATCTATAACCTCATCAGAATCCTGCGATTTAGGATCATCATCTGCATTTTCAATGCTCGTTGCCAAATCAGGATCTTCCCTAATATTTTTGTAGTCGTTAAAGATTTCAGAAAGCTTTCTATTATTACCAAAGGAGAAAAGTCTATGTGGCTTTAAAGGTGATGGTGAAACTTGAAAGTTCAACGGTGCTGGCAGTTTTGTTGGAGTAATTGGGTCTATAATATTTGATCGGATTGAGGTGATCTTTTTCGTCGGAGAACTTGTAGCTAAGTTTTCAGACGCCTGATTATCATTGTCGTCAAGTTGATCATCCATATCGAAATTGAACTTATTATTGACTTTGGCCAAATATTGTGGCGTTTCCATATTATGTAAAAGAGACGTTATATTCTTTTGAGGTGTATGCATTTCGGTACGCGTATTCTTGACATATGAAGCCTGTTCAAGTTTTTGAGTCAATGATTTGTTTCTAGATCCTCTATTATTAGTGGGTGTCAATTCCAGAAGGCTGATTTTATCCACTCTTGTTTTAGTTGGTGTCTTGAATGTATCTTCTGGTGCTTGTTCTATCTGATTATTATACGCACCAGTACTTCTGCTTCCTGTTTTATTCTTCAAAGGCGAGGAGTCTGGTGGGGTTAGTCTTATATCAAGAATGGACAATACCTTACCATTGGCCTGGGGTGTCGGCCCCAATTCTGTATCTTGGTTTTTGAGCTGACTACTACTTGATTCGGCACTTTCAATGTTGAATTCCTCAACATCCTCAACATCTGATTGCGATTCTAGTATATTGATGTCTATACCAACATTTGAAGGTTCCAATGTTTTCTTATTCCTTATTTTATCGGCACTATTTGTTCTAGATTTAAGGGCCTTATAAGTCTTATACAATTCATAAATCTTAGGATCTATTTTTATATCCAGTCTGGTCGGTATTCTATTATTTGAACGTTGAAATTCATGTTCCCAATCCTTTATAGCTTGCTTTAACTGAGCAATACTTTCCTGATGTGGCATATACTATGTGGTTTAGTGTTCTGATGATAAGAATAAAGTAGATACTAGCAAAAAATTCTTGATATACGTTCCGCGACGCGATCTCCACGTATTTATTCTATACAGTAAATCAAATATATATACATATACATCCTTTATTCTAGACTATCTACAAACTCTTTCACGTTTGAAAAACTTGGATTACCTTCATTTTCATTATTAATCGAATTGAGCATTTTGTTGACCGAGCTCTTGAAACTCCGTTTTTCCTCATCAGAGCTAAATGCATTGTTATTCAACTCAAAATCGTCAATAAAGGAACCTGCAATGGATGTCGAACAGTTCCAATAGTTATTCAAAAAGTAAACAATTGCTGATCTGTCGTTACGAATAGCCAAATAAACTATCAATCTCACCCAATTCTTAATGGACGATTTGCTGTCAATCTTACTATTGTTCAACAAATTAAAGGATACTTCCCAAGTATTCCAGAATTTAGCCCAGTCACCAGCATTACCATATGTGAAGAGGAGTAATTCCTTAAAGGAGTTAGTAGGTAAAGCATTTTCATCTATTTTTTGATTGTAGTAATTAATTAAATCTAAAATGTCTCTTGCCCTGTTTTTTGCTTGGAAAATAGACGGTTGACCAGGTAAATTAGGAATATCACCTTCTTGATAGATAATATCATCGATCATTCGAGAACCAATTACCGTATCTTTCTTTTGAACGAATGATAATCTCCAAAGCAATGGAAGGAATTCGGGATGGCGAGATATGTCGATTTGTTCCTTCGAAAACCGGAATAAAGTGGACAAAAATTGGGACAACGTATCATATAATTCGTCAGCGTAAGCATTGACTCCTTTTGAATTAGATAAGTCAAATTGTCTTCTAATTTCAGGTGAGTCAATCAACAACTTCATGAAATCAACAGTATCTTGAATTCTTTCTTTTGATACATCTATGTCATTATTCAATATTATCTTTAAGGAACTATACTTATCTAAAAGTATAAAAGTTAATTCGTCGAAAGATACAACGTCTGGGTTTTGGATGTGAATAGATCTGTAAAAGTTGAATCTGGTATTATAATCTTTTATACTTGGATCATGGAAATCAGCTTCAAAACTCTTGATTTGTTGTTTTAAGTCTTCGGTTGTTAAATTTCCCACTGACAATTTATGGAGAGAGGCTTCCAATGCTTCATTTGACGACGATGATGAGTATAAACGAGTTTGTTGATAATGTCTTGCAAAAGGAGTCATTGTATGGAACCTTCTAATACCAATAAAGATATCATCAGATTCTTCTGCGGCGGACTCCGACCTCGAGTATTTTTCTATATCCTCTTCCCGACACCACAAACTTTCTAAATTCAATTCGTCTCTTCTACTTTCGGTCAAGATATGTATGCATATATTATTTACCGCAGTATCACACATAACCCAACTATTTGGTGTTCTGCCATAATCATTGTCGGTTGCAAGAGGCCCTTTTCTAGCCCTTCTAAGCATACGTCGACGCGCAGCCGGAGTCTTGCTATTCGAAGCCATTCCTTCGATCTTAGGAATCAACTCAAAATTATGCTTTATGTACGTTCTGAGTTCATTGGATGCCTTATATATGTGTTTTTCAGATTTTCCAGTGCAAATAATCATATAGTCAGATGGTTGGTTGTCTGCATGATACTCATTTTCAGGACCTAATTGCGTCAAGTCAAATAATTCAATATCCTCTAAACCATATTCATCTGAAAGTAGCTCCAAAAATGTCTGAACTGTCGTGGGTGCATGATCTGGAACGACAGGCAATTCAACCTTCTTAGTTTCCAATAAGGGAGACGACGAATCATCACGCAAATACCAGGGAACGGACTCTTCCGCTTCATTTTCAGTGGTGGAAAAGTCTCGTTTTACCTCATTCAAACTTCCTTCTGATACCTTCTGAATTTCGCTTGGATCTTCCCCAGTCGATTCAGTTAAGTTTAATTTCGAATTCTGACCCGCTGAATAACACCTGAAATGTGTAGCACCAATAAATCGTCCGCCGCTAAATCGACGAATAACGTTTGGGACACCTCGGCGGCCCACATAACCCAATAAGTTCGCCATTACTTAAAGCTATAATATATAATAGACACTATCTCGGGAAGTATCTTCTATTGAAAATTTACTAACATGAATGTCGTGCAAGATAATAAATTTGCGACATAATTTTTTTTTTGATTCTGCTCATCTATAAGTTGCAGATTTAATCTTTAGTACCTGAAGAATATTTGGATATATATGACAATAAGATTACAGGATGGCAAAGCTTGTTCATAATATACAGAAAAAACAACATAGGGAACGTTCCCAAACTCAAGAAAGAGCTAAATATGGTCTTTTGGAAAAGAAAAAGGATTATAGGTTGAGAGCAGCTGATTATCATAAGAAGCAAGCTGCTTTAAAAGCATTGAAACACAAGGCGTCTAGTTACAATCCTGATGAATACTATCATGCTATGACAAGTAAAAAGACAGATGATCGTGGGATATTGGTTGCAGATCGTGGGAATGAAGCCATGTCGGTTCAGCAAGTCAAATTATTGAAAACTCAGGATGTTAACTATATTAGAACAATGAGACTTAATGAATTGGCGAAGATCAACAAACAGAAGCTGGATTTAGACTTCAAATCACAGGGAAAGCATACGGTATTTGTGGACTCGTTTGATAAGCAAAAACAATTTAAACCGGAGGAATTTTTTGACACTGACAAAAGTATGTTGAAAAGACGTGAGAATAGATTGAAAATAGATCAGTTGGAAAAGAACGAAAAATTGATTAAACAGGACCCAATAGAGGATCAAAACCAAAAGGATAAGCAGGACTTGAAGAAGTTGAAACAATATAAATTATTGAAAAGAAGATTGGAAAGAGAACAACAATTGAAAGAAGTTGAATCACGTATGGAATTAACAAAAGAGTTAATGAAGAAAGGAAGTGAGAAAAAGATGGTTGACTCCAATGGTAAAGTTCAATTTAAATGGAAAAATCAAAGAAAACGTTAGCATTCTGTAAGGCTTAATCTCGAACCACCTTGTATATTATTTTTGGCTATATATATATATAATATAATAATTATAGAGTTTAATCTTTTTGATGTAGTGCTCAATCATCATTACTGAGACTTCTATTGACGTACTCAACAAACAATGGAGTTATCCTATCAATATCTACACTTCTCATTCTATTCAAACTGATGTATGATCTTCTTATCCTCTGTAACTGAGCGATACTAACACTTGTAGCGGGCATTTCGATAAATAATTTTTTCTCCTTATCTATAAGTGCTTCTCCTCCGATGCTCATTAACTGTTGATGCTGGACAATTTTACCAATGACTGCCAGTGTTTGTTTGTCGAGCTCTTGCAAAAAATCATTTCCTGAAGTTGGTTTCACCAATGTTGCTGCGTTAGGGGGAGGAGGACGCTTTAAGACAAGGCAGTCCCAAATTTCATCTATCGGTAATGTTTCCTTGTCGTAATCAGACATAATAGTAAATAAGGGTGAATCCCACCTAGTATCATTATTAGGTTCCTCATATCTCATACTCAATTGTTTGATAAGCTCATTATCCCACTTCTTTTCGTCATTATTTTCATTATTCCATTGAATGCTTGTATCTAAAGAACTCATCACATGGATAACACAATGTGGTGTTGCCACTCCTTTCGCCTCACAGTATAATTGGTACCTGAAACCTTTAATATATGCCATGGAATCTAAAATAACAAAATTAGTTCGTGATAAGTCTCTTTTCACAGCAGACATTTGACTACCTCTAGCATGCTTCTCCATATTCGAATCTTTGTATGAATCATGAGAAATTCCTAACGTTTCATCTGAGTGATAAATTATAGAATAGTTATGTCCTGGTTCTTTCGATGCCTTGGAAGATTCGATTTTTTCTTCCAATAATGCTTGCAACTTCTTAGCCCATTTCGTTTTACCCGATGATGGCAACCCTGTGAATGTTATCAAGGGCATATTTGTTGTATTATCTATTCTTCTATCAGAAATTTTTCACATCGATTTGAAAATAAAAATTCAGTTTACGAATTTGATGAGGAAGATAATCTACTAGCATATACCAAACACATTTTTTTTTTATCATAATACATAAAGATGTCATTTATACCGAGAAGGATATTTCCTAACTATTCTCTACCGCTATCAAACTTTAAGGGGCATCATCAAAAGGCTTTAACGAAATTTGGTCATTTAGCACCTCAGATTGACTTAGTACTTGAAGTCAGAGACTCAAGAGCTCCCGTATCAACAAAGAATGTATTATTTGATCGAGTATTAGCACAAAAAGAGAAGATTATACTTTATACCAAAAAGGATCTCTCAGTGTTGAAAAGTGACTTGATAAGAAAGTGGCATGATGCAACTAAGGAAGAATGCTTATTTATTGATGCTAGAAGTAAAGGTGATGCTCAAAAAATCATTGATCTAGTAGGCAAAAGGTACTATGCAATGAACCCTCCTCCTCCATTGGGTCTTAGACTTATGATTATTGGTATGCCAAACGTTGGAAAGTCAACGTTGGTTAATACATTAAGAAATGTTGGATATAGTTCAAAGATTAAAGGCGCTATATCAGGAAAGAATAGGAAAGTGGCAAAGACTGGTGGACAACCTGGTGTAACAAGGGCAACAAGTGAAATTATAAGACTTAGTACTAAGCCAGACATACTTGTATATGATACACCCGGTGTGTTTCTTCCAACAGTCAAGGATAATGAAACCATGCTAGCACTAAGTCTCATCGGTTGTGTTCATACTTCATTTATTGATCCGGTTATACAAGCAGACTACTTGCTTTATTTGTTGAATTTACAAGATCCTACAGGATCGAAGTATAAAGAATATATTGATCACCCAACAAATTCTATTGACGAACTACTTTACTATATTGCCCTCAGAAGGAATAAAGTCGGGAAAGATAACACTTATGATGAACTTGGGATGGCTACTCATTGGACAAGTCTTTGGAAACAAGGAAGACAAACGAAATATAAGGGATTATTCGATTTACCAACAATTTTAGAAATAAACGGCGAAGAATTGCAAAATATTTTTAAAAACGAAAGAGAGAGAATTAGTGGAATGACTGTAAGTAATAAAATTGAAAATAGTTTAGGTGAAGATGGTACTGCTTCATCGAAGCATAGGAAGAGGACGGCTAAGGATAGAAAATACGACTTACAAAACCAATTATTTAAATTGTAAAATACATATATTGTACATAGATTAATTTAAGAGATCATTAATATCTGGCAATACCTCATATTCACCTTCACCAGCACCGTAATTACCCTGGGCATTTTTCATCATAAACATATCGTTCAAGTTATTATTATTTGTCATTTTACGTTTCTTTTTCGCTTCATCCTCCTGTTTTACATACTTAGTATCAAGCTCTTTTATAAGCCTTTTTGCAACATCAATAGAATTTTCGTTGATATCAGCTAGCCAGTCATCATTCGCCGTGGAATTTGTTTTCAATATATTAGACAAATTAAAGAGATTTGTTGAAGAGCCAAAACTATCATTTTTATTAGAAATTAAATTGTTTTGAATAAAATTTGGATCGTTCAAGTATTCGTGAAGATTTCTATGTTCCAAGGATTTAGTGATAATTTTTTTGATATTTAGGTTGAATTTGTGAACCGCCGGAGATGAAACCAACAATCTTGATGAGATACCAAAGTTAGATAACTTTGGAAACGATATTAAAGAATCATTAAATAGAGTTACCTTATTATTTTCCACGAAGAATTTATCTGAATGAGTGTTCTTCCTTTCTATTCTATCTAAATCCTTAGATAAAATAAATGATTCCATTAATTCGTTAGTTGTAGTACTTGGAAGATTCGTATCACGCGATGAATCTTCGTCAGGCTCTTGTTTAATTGGGTTATCATCCAATAAGTCATTATTCGATGTAAAGGATTTTCCACTTGTTGTTTTGATGGAAGTTAGTAAAGGAAATTTTCCTATTTTCTCATCTTCTTTAAATGGCAATCGTATTAACATAAATGCATATACAAATCTTTCATTTACCCTAATCTTTGAAGGTATTAAGGCACTAACATTAATTTCATCATTAGACTTTTGAACGTATCTTACTATCGCCAAACCTTCAAGATCAATTAATGACTGACACAAGCCATTAAAGCCAACAATATTCTTATAAGAGCAAGACGATTCTGGCAATAAATAGTAAGATTCACCTGTCAAATATGCATAAGGCAAATCTTCTATTTTTATGAATCCTAAAATATCCATGCCTGGACTAGAAGCAAGCTTTGCCGAGCTGAGCAAATCTTCATCAAGAGTTAAGAGATCATAGTTTGAATATTTGAAGCCATCGGTCCATTCATCAACATTGACAGAAACTGATTCTAAATCGCCTGCGTTTTCCTCATCATCAACATATCGCCGCTTATGAACTTCATCGTCATTATCATTTGCTTCGTCCTTAGATGAGGCCAGCTTGATGAAATAATCCTTAGAATATTTGGTTTTATCAACAGAATTATTTTCAGGATCTATCTTATATTGATGTCCGCTAGGCAACTTTTCAGCTTTAAGAGCAGGGTAAAGTTCTACGTTTAAGGAAATGCAAGTTTGATCGAGATCTGGAACGTAATCTGAATTTTCATTTTTGTTACAATGATCGCTCCCAAACCTCAATTGTCCTTTAAACGCTCTCATCGGTTTAACTTTCTTGAGCGGAGGGTTATGTATTATTGACTCTACTATTCGTGCTGTAGTGTAGACTTTGCTTGTTTTATATGTGTCAAAAACCGAGACCCAGCCTGACTCATTTTTAGCCTTTTCTCGAGACTTGTGGGGGTAATGTAACCCATCAATATCAAAATCAATCCCATTGAGTACAACATTCACATTCATTTCATTTATAGCATTTCGGGTTGCATCCGCAATTTTTGTCTCAAATGATTTAATATTAGTCTCTGCATTAGTTATAACCACAACATTCCGTATGAATTTAAGCTTATGAGTATCCTTCAAAAGGCCAATTCCAACCAACATACTTTCGAAACAGTCACCCTCGTCCTCAGTCATTTCTGTCATGTTCGGGCGAAGTAGTTTATTATATCTCCGAAGATCATCATACGTTGGTGCAATTTTATTCGAAACTATTTCAATGTTTCTGAATGAATCTTCACTGGCGAAAGGATTATCAGTTTTATTGGAGTGGCATGTAATAACCGAAATGTAATCAGTTTTCCTCCCTCTTAGAATTTTGTTGGTTACTATATCATAAAAGTATTTTAATCCGTACTCTAAATCACTAATATTACGTCCATTTGATTTATTTGCCATAGAAGGCGATAAATCGACAATAAATATTGTAATCTCTTTGCTAGCCATTCGAGTCTTGATACTTGTATAAGGAAGAATTTAAAAATTGATCTTGTGCGTAAATAATCTGATAAACTATATCAGCCAACAAAAAGAACTTCGTAAACAAGAATCAATTGAATACATATAAACAAACCAAAGAAGCTAATATAACACAATTACAACCAATTAATCAATCACATCCTCGAGACGTTGTATCTTAACACAGACATCTGGCATTTTCGTAAAAAATGAGTCTACCATACAAACATAAACATCAACAATATCCAAAATATCTGAGCCAGCAAGCAGAGTCGCAAGGAATAGAACCGAATACACATGTACGACTGATACAAGTACCAACATTTGAGCCAATTCAGTCGCATGTACCGTCAATTCTTCCTAATACTGGTGTTTTCGGGGAGACCGTATTTCCTACAAGTGATCTGAACGACAGTCAAACGCAATACCAAGGTAACCATAGGAGCTATGCCAGCTCAGGTAATATATTTCACGCAGAGGAGAGTAATCCAGTATTACCTACATTAGGAGGATCAATTGATCAAAATATGCAATTTCTGTACCAAAACCATCCAGGCCACAGTTCATATCCCAACGTACTAGATTACGCTTCCTTTATTGGAAATCCCACTCTAATGACGCAGTCCACTCAACTGTATCCATATAACCTAGATCAACCAACCGAACTGTTTCAGAAAGTTCCTATCCAATCAGCAAGATCTTATGATTCTTTTGATTTTAAGTCGCCAAATTTAAGGTTCCCACCTCAATATCAACAAATAAAATCAGGAGATTCTGAAATTCCAACTTTTTCAGCTACCATTGACATGGCTACAGGATTGAATGCAAATAAAGCCACTTCAAAGAGCCACTTCAAGCCAACCCAAACGAAGCGAAATGCGAGACCAAGAATTAATAAACTTAATAAGAGTGATCCTCTTCTTCTGAGAATCAATGTGAAGAAACCCAAGCTTTCACATTCAATGAACATGATGGCTGAATTATCAACTGATGAATTATTTAAGCATTTTCAGGATACACTAAAGATAGAGAAACCCGATGGATCTCAAAGAGCGTCTTTCTATTTGAGAATGCAAAACGAATTAGAAAGACAACTCTTTGATTTATTTGTCAATCATTTGTCAAAATCGATAGACATATTTTTTCCCCAAGAAGTGTTTCGGAAAGTTATCCCCGAATTAGCTGTATACGACGAAACTAATATGATAGTGTGTTCTATATTTTGTTTAAGTTCGTTGATGCTCCAGAGAATTAATCCTGATAAGTTTGACCTGTCAATAACGATTAGATATTATCATCAAACAATCACATCTATAAGACACTATCTTAGTATTCCTGAGATTGAACAAAAGGATAAAGGTATCATGCCCAGATGCTTATTGAGTACGATTTTATTATGTATATACGAATTATTTTTTGTGTCTATCGATAGCACTTACATTAAGGGGGCATCAAGTATATTGTCATCGATTTTAATGAAGAATGGTGGTAACAAAAGCTTGCTTAAGGATTCTCCATTTTATCAAACCTGTTTTTGGCCCATGTTATTATGTGATTTGATATTTTCTTTGAAGTATAATTCACCAAGCATGTATTCTATCGAAACCTTTTGGAAGCCATTGGACCCTGAGTACTTTGAATTATATGGCGATTTTTCTTCTTATGGCTCTTCTAAAACTGAAAATGAAGCCGAATTGGTAAAACTAACTAGTACTAAGGTAAATACTACGTGGTGGATACATAAATCTATCATTGACTTCAGCTCCATAACCAAATTCAAGAATGAGATTACAGTTTTAACTAGAGAAGACTTCGAATCTAACAGACCATATCTAGAATGGTTAGATCTAAAGAAAAACCTTGACATTTTTGAGAAGCAAATGCCTTTGACAATAAAACCAACAATATATAAATCCTGCTCGCCTGATAGACTCTTTCCTATAATATACTTCAAAGACGAAGCAACAGCCATAATTGGCTTGAACTACAAGCTTGCAAAAATAATGTTGTACGAGGCCTTGATCCAAAAAACAAACCTAGCTGATCCTCTACCAAAAGCTGAATTCATGAAATATCCAAAACAATATCCCGTGAAGTTGGCGAAGGACATAATAGGCATAATCAAAACCTATGATGCTAACTTGTCAGTTTGGACAGTAAACGCGCATGCTCTAAGATCTGTTGCTCATTATTTGCAAGATGAACCAGAAGCATCCAGAGGATTAGAAGAGCTAGTAGAGAGACTTGTGTCTATCTGTCATTTGTGCATCTAGACTTAAATGAATAACATATACACATATATAGAATTAATAGCGTAGTAGTTTTATTATCACGTGTCATTTTGCTACAACTACATTGCGGACCCTTTTACACCTTAACATGAAATTTGGTATAACAATTGCCGTATCCGCTATACTTTGACCAAATACTTGTTGTGAGATCTTGCTCTGATTTTCAGAAAGAAGGATTTAGTTAATATAAGTCGCTGCTTAAATCAAACCAAATGAGTGGACTAAATATTAAAGAGTTGAGACAAAAAGGCAAGGACCCTAGATTTTGTCTGCAAGTTTCGACAGACTTACTAGATGAAATTGTTGAGTCACTATTAAGTGAAAACCATATTAATGATTCGGATACTATTGACTTGTTTGCTACAATTTCGAATATTTTGCTTATTAACATAGGACTTCGTAATACACACTTCATTCCAAACTATTCTGTACGATCAATTGAATTCTTGGACAGATTTATTAACCAGTCCCTTTCAGAAAGTGATACACCGGATAAATACGATTTTGGAAGATTGGTTCCAGTTTATCGTTTGATATTTTTAATACTATGCAACGAATTGAATCACATGGATACGAAAACTATTGCTGCCACGTATTCTTTATTAATTTTGGGGTTCGAATTTTGCTTCAGTGTCTTTGATAATTATAAGAAGGACGATAACTACCAAAAGGCATTTGCTGAGGTTTTGAAAGGTTTATATACGTTTCAGCATAAACACGCATATGGAGAGCAATTGAATAAAGAGAATCGGTTAATTAATGAGGGTATTTTATATAGTTGCATTGTTGTGACAAATAACATAATAGAGGATGTAAAGGATATACGTTTGTTACTGGATAATGAATTGTTGTTAATGAAATATCTTTTGAACTCAATTTTAGGGCTATTGACGCATGAGCAAAATGTTAATAAATTTTGTATTAAGAATAATGATACTAATAACTCATTTCTTCATAATCTTATGACGCTTATAGAATTCCAATTAGAAAGATATTCTGATAAAGCATATACTAAATTCGATTTGACTGATGTGATGAACCTTTTGGTTATAATCAATTACATTTCTAATAGAATCATATTGCAATATAACGAACCTGAATCTCAAGACGCTAGTTATTTGCTATACTTTATATCTATATTTGTTGAGAAATTATTGCCTATGAATAATGATATTACTATCTATAACAAGTTGATGTCATTAATTTTGACATCAAATAGCAATACTTTGACAAGTAATGTGAACATAGCTAATTTGACCAATCTTGCGAACATTAAAAGCCTTATTCTTGAATGTATTTACAATTTATCATGGAATCCAGAGACTAAATGTGATGAACGTATGAGTCAGTTTTTAGATTTGGTAGGTTATAGAAATGCTCAGGGGTTTATAATAGCTAATAATTTGCAAGTGCTGCTGAAAATTGATACAGAAAGCGTTCAATCTCCAAACCCCAAGTATTTGGATAAGAATAACAAAAACATTGAACATGAATTTTCCAAAATTTCATTAGATTCAATATTTAATAAGGACAAGCCAGCAAATAGTAACAACCTAAGTAACAAAGAAAAAGAGTTGGAAGCTGAAAAGTTATTTGTGCTTTTTGATAGAATGGAAAAGAATGGGGCTTTTCAAGGGTTTAAAAATCCGGTAAGAGAATGGCAACAACTGGGAAAATTTGAAAATTTACCGGACGACGATAATTAATAGTTTCGAGCGATATTCAGGCTTTTAATTGTCATTTTATGATTAAACTAATCAGGTTTTATATACTTAATGAATAAAAAATTTACGAGAATTGAATTATAGGGAATCTAAACGATTCTTTCCTTAATTTGAAGAACGATAGCCGTTCTTGATGGAATGTAGCAAAATAATGCATTGGATCTATCATTCCATCTTTCATTGGTTGTAAAAAACTGCAACTTTTCACCCGTCTGTTTGTTTGTTTCTTCAATTCTATCGTGACCTCCGAATAAAGAACTGTCAGAATTTAAAACTATCTGATAGACACCGGGAGTTTCTACTCCAACCTTATAATCGGCGTAAGAATTGGTAGGGTGAAAATTAAAAATGAATAATAAGCCGTTTCTTTCAAAGACAACAACCTTATCACTTTCATTTTTTAAGGATACGTAGGCTTGTGAAGATAACAATATACCATACTTGGTATCTAAATGTTGCATTGCACCATCAAAGGCAAACAAAAACTTGTAACGTAATAAATCATCTTCAATTAAATTAAATTGTCTTCTGGCATAATCATACGATTCTCCATTTCCTACTCTTGGAAAATCTAACCATTCTGGATGGCCAAACTCATTACCTTCAAAATTTAAGTAGCCTTCACCTCCTAAGGAAAAAGTAATTAATCTGATCATCTTATGCAATGCAATACCCCTATCAATAACAGGAGTGAAAGGAGTCAATGTAGACATGTTGGTGTACATTTCTTTATCCATTAACCAAAAAGCAATAGTTTTGTCACCTACTAATGCTTGATCATGAGATTCACAATAACTAATACACTTTTCACCGTGTCTTCTGTTGGTTAATGTGTGCACAAGGTTCCCCATATCCCATTGCTCATCGTTCAAATGTTTAATAATCTTAATCCACATATCTGGAATTGCCATGGATAATCTATAGTCAAAACCAATACCACCTTCATCAATTGGCAAACACAAAGTTGGCATACCACTAACATCCTCTGCAATGGAAACAAATTTATAATTATTTTCTCTTACGCTAATTTCATCCAATAATTTATGACCCAACATTAAATATGTTATTGCATCATCGTCAACCCATTCAGAATTGAAGTATTCATTGTAGTCGCCACTAAATCCAAAACTCAAACCATGATGTTTGTAAAGCATACTAGTAACACCATCAAATCTGAAACCATCAAATTTGTAGACATCAATATAAAACCTCAAGTTTGACAATAAAAATCTTAAGGTTTCGTAGTTCGAGTAATTGAATAATCTAGAATCCCACAATTCATGAGAACCTTTAGTGCCCCCGTGGAATAAGTAGTGATCCGTACCATTAAACATATTCAAACCATCTTCAACATTCTTAGAGCTATGCGAATGAACAACATCTAACAAGACTCTAATACCCAATCTATGGGCTTCGTCAATTAATTCTTTTAAATCTTCTGGTGTACCGAAACGAGAAGAAATTGCAAAAAAATTGGTAACTTGGTAACCAAATGATGCATAATAAGCATGTTCCATAATTGCCATTAATTGAATGGTATTGTATCCTAATTTGTGAATAACGGGTAAGACTTTT